ATGATTCGGTTTTGCAGCCAAGGGTGGGTGAGTCGAGTTCTCGACTCAAGGGCGGGAAGTCTAAGTGGTGGATCGGAGAGTCGCAACCAACTTGAATGGAGAAGCATGGGAAACATGCTTAAGAGTTCAAGTGACGAGCGACTCATCCGGAATCGAGTTGTGTCAAGACTACAAGATAATGAAGGGATGACTAGGCGACTGCGACGAGATGGTCTGATATTCTCTCTGTCAGTCGTTAGCGTTGCTACGCTTCTTTATTTTTTTTTAAACCCACCCACTGCCGCCCGTAGGCAGGTATCATTGAACTACTCGGTTAGATCTCGCTTACTTCCATATCTCTTTCGTTGCTATTCTTGAGATCTATAGGTTACACATCGTAGCTCAATGATTCGGTTTTGCAGCCAAGGGTGGGTGAGTCGAGTTCTCGACTCAAGGGCGGGAAGTCTAAGTGGTGGATCGGAGAGTCGCAACCAACTTGAATAAACTCCTATTTGATCTGGGGCGAGCGCGACTCTAAAGTTTTCGAACATAAGCGGGATTCGCCAGAGAAGTATTGGATTGTCCTTCCATGGAATTCAGTATTACGTCGATCGCTTCAGGGTGCAATAAGGGCGACGGGATGTTTTTGGTCTACACATTAGTATAGTGTATTATCCAGATAAGCCATGACAAAAGTCAGACCGCCTAAAGCTCAGAATCCATCCCGGATGTGTGTCAGTGGGAGACCCTGGAAGCAACTCCCCGGGAGAATGTAATATCGGAACTGAGGGCAGCGTTTTTGTCTATATTGTACCGTGTTGAATCAACAATGTTGATCAGCCACGTGGGGTTCTGAATTTCAGTGGGTTTACCTGGTTGTATCGATCCCTGCAAATCCAGGGTTAAGTTCCAAAATGTTCTAGCACGACGATCATTCTTTCGCAGTGGCTTAATAGAAACGCCTTGATCGCCATGACTCTTCATAGGCAAGCTCATCAGTATTCTTCTTCATTGCGCTCATGCAATTATTGATTCGATGTATGACATCTTGCTAGGACTATCAAAGTTAAGGCAAGCAAAAGGGACTATCGTCCTCCTGCTAAGCCCGGCATGAGCAAGTTCGATGCCCGGAAAATTCGCGAGCGCGACCTATCCTTGGCTAAAGGACGCGAAGCAGAACTAAAAGCCATCGCTAAAGAGAAGAGGGCTATCGCCAACAAGAAACGTGTGGAGAAGGCGGAAAGGAAGAAGGAGAACGAGATCAGGAGCGGCCAGTACCAGGTATCTATTTTGGGGTTTCTACATCAAGCCAGATAACCAGACTGCGCCAATGAGTTACGTTTTAGGTGATAAAGAATACGAGCAAGCTCCGCAGATATGACAAGAAGCCATGTCCAAAGTGATGAAGATGAGCCCGGAGATGATTGAGGAATTAGTCGGAATGGGCGTCGCTCCACCCGGACAAGTGTTACTCCTTCGTTCAAGTAGTCACTTGAGTGGGTGAGCTGGTCACTAACTCCACACGTTTCTCTTCGTTTACCGCTACTGTTTCTTATCTGGCAAAGTAACAGGGTTATGG